TTCTCACTCATTTTTCTCTCTTCCTCCCCCCGTTACCTTCATCTCCAGGGCCCCAAGGGTGAGCAGGGTCCACCAGGGATCCCAGGACCCCAAGGTTTGCCAGGAGTCAAAGGAGACAAGGTGACTGCCCCTGGCTGCAGGGGACGGGCTGCTCGGGGGTCCGGCTCAGGGGAGCTGGGCTGAGCTGACCCCCCCCACCCCTCTCCTTTCTCCAGGGCTCCCCAGGGAAAACCGGCCCCAAAGGCAGTTCTGTGAGTACCTCACCCCCCTGCCCAGGCTGGGGCATTGCTGACACCTGTGTTTAAAAGGGCTGGCACCCATTTCTGGGGGGCCCTGGCACCCACTGACACCAGACACTTTGTCCATCAGTCCCCTCTGCATCCCATTGAGTGCAGTGGGTGGAAAAGGGGGATGAAGTGGCTGTGGAGGAGGTGGGTGCTCATGGTGAAGGTTCTCATCTCTTGTTGCCTTTCCTCTAGGGAGACCCAGGTGTTCATGGCCTTGCAGGGCTGAAAGGAGAGAAGGTGGGTTCCCACAGATGGGTTCTGGGGTGGGATGGGGGGGACTGGATGTGGGTCCCTGCCATGTGCTGCAGCTGTACTGGGGTCACTCCGTGGTGTGGGATATATGTGCCTCCCCCCAGCTGCATCCCTAAATCCGTGCTGTCTCCACATTGCATTTCTGGTGTCCTCTGTCCCCAGGGTGAATCAGGCGAGCCAGGGCCAAAAGGACAGGTGAGTGATTGGGGGTTTGGGGAGTGAGGGGCTCCCTGCACCTTCACTCTGGGTGGCTCTGTGGGACCCTCAGCCAGGGGTGAGCGTCCTGATCACAGAATCACAGACTGGTGGGGTTGGAAGGGACCTCTGGAGATCATCCAGTCCAACCCCCCTGCCAAGCAGGGTCACCCAGAGCAGGTCACACAGGATGGAACCTAGGCAGGTTTTGAACATCTCCAGAGATGGAGACTCCACACCCTCTCTGGGCAGCCTGTCCCAGGGCTCTGTCACCCTCACAGGAAACAAGTTTTTCCTCATGTTTAAGTGGAACCTCCTGTGTTCCAGTTTGTGCCCATTGACCCTTGTCCTATCACTGGCCACCGCTGAGAAGAGCCTGGCTCCATCCTCTTGACACCCGCCCTTTAGATATTGATAAACATGGATAAGGTCCCCTTATGAAGGCAGTGATGCTCCACGGAGCTGGTGCATGTGCATGCTGGTGGCCTGAGAAAGTACCTTCACTGGAGATGGGCTTCAGTGGCCACGTTCAGCCCTGGATTCGGGTTCAGACCCTGTCTGGGGCTTAAACCCTGGCTGCAGTGGTTGGTACTGGGAGCTCTCAGGGTGCAGCCCCTGTGCTCGGGACAGGGCTCCTCATTCCTGACACCACTCTCCATCCCACCACAGCAAGGCATCCAGGGTGAGCTTGGCTTCCCTGGCCCCTCAGGGGATGCAGGAGCACCTGGCCCACGAGGGTACCCAGGACCCCCTGGCCCACGAGGACTCATTGGGGAGCGTGGCGTGCCAGGGATGCCCGGCCAGCGCGGCGCAGCGGTGAGTACCCCCAGCACCCACATCCCCTCCTCACCTCCTGCACCACCTCGGTGGTGACCTGGGGGCTGTCACCATCAGCTCGTTCAGCTCAGCAGGTGAATTGTCCCCGACCTTTTCTGACCAACCAACTCCTCTGGGAAATGCCTGTTGTTCCGCTCGGAGGCTGTTTCTGTTCCCCCACCAACTCTCCAGGAGGGCTGAGCTGGGATCCCACCTGTCTAGGAAAGAGGAATTCTTTCTTTCTCCCTGTGTGCAGCACCAGCAGCAGGTTTAGCTCCAGCGTGTGCCTTTGCAGCCTGCCCAGGAGACACCAATTTTCCATATCAGCCTCATTTTATACTTGCAAAATGGGGCTGCAGAAAGTTAATGCCATGAGGAGGGTGCAGTGTGGCCAGACACAGCATGAGCTGAGGCTAAAACACTTGTACTGGGACCAAACTGAAGATGATGGGTTGGGAAGGTGGCACTGGGTGCAGGGAGGTGCTCTGGAGCAGAGGGCTGGGATGGGACCTGTGCTGAGGTGCAGATGGGGATGGAAGGAGTGATGTCCCTTTATGGTGTGTCCCTCTTGTCTGCTGGCAGGGCCGGGATGCTGGGGACCAGCACATCATCGACGTGGTCCTGAAGATGCTGCAAGGTGAGGGGGTGAGCGAGGCATTGCCAGCTGGGTGGCTGCCACTGAGTCCCATCCCACACCGGCCTCTCTCTGCCCTACAGAGCAGCTGTCAGAGCTGGCAGTCAGCGCCAAGAGAGCTGCCCTGGGTGGAGTTGGTGCCATGGGACCCCCAGGACCTCCTGGTCCTCCAGGGCCACCCGGTGAGCAGGGTCCACATGGACCCATGGGACCTCGAGGTGTCCCTGGAATCCTGGGCGCTGCCGGGCAGATTGGCAACATAGGACCTAAAGGTAGGT